ATGACTAGGGGGGGGTGGATATCATGGCGTGGGCCATGATATTTCCCCAGATCTCATGGCGCCTCTCCTTGTTTCATTACGTCCCTCGCCCCCCCGCTGGGCCGCGCACATGCCGCTGGTCATGATTTGCACCCCCCCCCCTTGGACACCCCCCTCTTGGCCTCTCCCGAGCTCTGGGGGGTATCCAGTGCAGACCCCCAGGCCGCCCCGAGGGTTTCTCTCTTCTGCTTCCCCCCATCCCCTCGCGTCTCCCCTCTTGGCTTCTGAAGCCCGACGTGGGGGGACTGATTTGGGCTCCCTCTCGTCAATTCAAAGGCTCCGGAGAAGGCCAAGCTCCGCTTGCGTGTGCAAGGCGGACGCATGCGGTCGAACGGCGTGCGTCCAGTCACGCAGGGAGCTTTCTAGGCATGGCTGGGAAAAGTACATCCCGAGTCTTGGGTATGGCAGTTTTGGGCAGGCCTGAACGGTTTTAGAGAGAAGGGGCTTGACACCGGGAGCCAACGGATGGGCTGCGGCCCAGGGGAGAACGCTTCCCTGCACGAGCCGAGGTCTTCGCGTGCTGGCTCGCCTGTGTCAGGTGTTCCCTCGCGTGCCCCCAGGCCAGCTCGGTGCATCATGCCCGCGTGTCGCCACCTCGGGCTCGTGCCCGCTGCGGTGGAGGAGCAGAAGGGGCTCAGGGGAGAAGGCATCGCCTCCTCCATCGCCCATTGATCGCCGATGGGGGCCCGATGGCCCACCCCGCCCAGGAGCGTGCGGGTTCGCTGTCGGGGGCCTATCGCCGATCTGTCGGCGATGCATCACCGATTCGAGCTCGATTCCCTCCCCCCACCCCTCCCTCGGCTGGTCCCCTGGTGGCTTCCAGGTCATGACTCAAACCTCCGGCGGCCGTTCGGGACGGGACGATTCTGGCAATTCCCGGAAGCCTCTCAGCGCGGCGCAGCCGCTGGAAGGCACCCCGAGGCTGGAAAGCCGCTGAGAATTGACGACAGCGTGTGAATACCTCAGACCTCAAAGCTCGCAACTTGGGCACCCCCCGATCGTTGCCCCTCGCAGGCGAAGATCTTCCTGGACTCCGCCGAGGCCGAGCTGGCGCGCACCCCGCAGGGTGAGGCGCAGGGGTGGGCCAGCGAGCAGTACAAGCTGCTGCAGAAGCTGCTGAAGTACCTCCACGCGACCGGCGAGGTTCAGGGGCAACGGTAGGCCTAGCATCGCTCGGACGTGTGCATTGTTCCTTCGGCGAGGACCATCGAGGACCATCCTTGACCATTTTACGAATAAGCCACGCACGAGACCGAAAAAAACACAGGGAATGGACGTCCAAGCGATGGCCAGTAGGGGGGATAGGCTCGGAGGAGGGACGCATCGACCCCCCATCGCCAATTGCTTGCTGCTAGGGGCCCCATCGCCCACCCTGCCGAGGACCGTGCGGCCGTGCGGGTGCGCTGTCGGGGGCCGAACGCCGATCTATCGGCGACGCAGCGCCGATTATTCCAGGTCGATGTTCCCCCCCTCCCTGAGCCCTTGGCATCGCTCGGACGTGTGCATTTTTCCTTCGGCGAGGACTTTCGAGGAGCATCCTCGACCATCTGGCCAAAAAAACACGCACGAAACCAAATAACAAAAAACAGGTAATGGACGTCCGAGCGATGGCCAGGAGCCGCCCCCCCCCCCGCAGCGTTGCCCCTCAGAGGCCGAGGTGCGCGCGTGGGCCCAGCTCGGCTGGGGCGAGGCCAGGCTGCGGGGCCTCGAGGCTCGGCTGCGCGCGCGGGCCGCCGCCACCTTCGGCGTCGTGAAGTTCGCGCTCGCCAGGTTTAAGTCGGGCCTGTCCCCCTACAAGGGGACTTTCGACGAAAAATACGAAATACCACAAAAATGCTAAGAACAAAAATAGTCCAAAAATAGTATGGGGACTATTTCTTGAATATGTGTTGACCTTTTTGGTGTACTTTTTCGTGGTATTTTTAATTTTTCGTCGAAAATCCCCCTGTAGGGGGACACGCCCGACAGAACGGCAGGTCGCCGGACCGGAACGCCATCCTCGGGGGAGGGCCGGCGGAGACAGCGGCGGCGCTCCCGCCCGGCCAGAGCCCGCTCAAGAATTGTGGGGGGGGCGCGTCCTCGGGGGGCGATGTGCACGGGGGGGGGGCCAGGGCTTGCTGCAGAACAGGGGCCCCCCAGGGCTTCTCGAAGGGCCCGTTAGGGCCCCCTCGAGGAGCCCATCTCGGTCCGAAAAGGGCACTTCTCTCCCCCCCCCCCCCCCTCCATTGATCGCCCCCCAGTGCCCTCCACCTCCACCTTCCATGCCTTCCGACCCCAGCGGAAGGTGCGGACAGATTCATCGAAGCGCATGGAAACCTGACGCACTCCAAGGCACATCCACACAGATCATATCGGAAAAGGAGTGGACGGTTCGGGCGGTAAGGTCTGGAAGGGTGAGGGGGAGGGGAAATGGGCACCTCTCCCCCCCATTTCATCGCCCTCGACCGATTCGCGCCCAGAATCGGCCCCCTCCTCCTCCTCCTCCACCTCCTCCACCTCCTCCTCCTCCTCCTCCTCCTCCTCCTCCTCCTCCTCCCTGTGCCCATCCTGGGGGTCCATCCTGGCTCGTTCCTCGGGTCGGGCCTGGCCCTGGTGGGAGGAGAGGCCCCAAGAGAGGCTCCCACTGGGCTCAGGGCGGGCCTCGCCCAGGGCATCCAGGGGGTTGGCGCGAGTGGATGCCACGGTGGGTTCTCTCTGAGCCTCCTCCTCCTCCTCCTCCTCCTCCTCCTCCTCCTCTTCCTCCTCATTCCTCATTCCTCCTGGCCTGACCTGGGTTACCAGTCAACGCGCATAGTAAGGACAAACGACTTTTGCAAGGGTACCCTTGGGTCCTTGCCTGCCTCAGCCTCTGCGGCCCGTCCCTAGCAATTTTCGCAGGTCAGTTTCTCAGGTTCCCTGGGGGTTTGGCCGCCTGCCGCCCAGAATACTTCAACTTCGGCCTCCAAAGGTCTTGCGTCCTTAACACGCGTCCTTACTATACGTTTTCACTGCACCAGTGGGTCACGAGTGCACGGCGTGGCTCGGGGGAGAACGGTCCAGGCGACAGTGGCTCCGCCCGCTTGGGGGAGTTCTCCCAGCCCCCCGAAGCCATCGAGGGCACTTGCAGCGCATTCGTGCGCCAGAGGGTCGGCCAGCTATGACCTCCCTTGGCAGTCTCCTGGGCATCAGGTTCTGTATAACCCCTCCATCCCCTGAGCACCCCCCGCGCCGATGCGAGCATCAGGCCCAGAGAGGTCGAGAAGCACGAGGGGTGGCCTCCGCTGTCTCGACCTGGGCCTCCCTCCGACCATCCGGGCCGACCTGCTCCGCCCCGCGTTCGCGGAGGTGGCCTGCGACGCGGTGTGGGCCAAGTTCGTCGAGCTGTCCCAGGCCCTCCCCTTCTGCTCGACCCCTTGGCTCTGCATCGCTCTGGGGGGCAGCTCGTGCCGCCCCATTTTCCGCTCCGGGCCTCGGAGATGGGCGACAGCACTCAGGAGCCATACTCCGTGACCCCGTCTCCCGGCTTCTGCCTCCGCTCCCTTCCCGTGGCTCTGCTGCGCTTCATGGGTGAACTCGCGTTGCCCCGCTTTCCACCCCCCGCGCTGCACAGAGCGGCGAGTGGCGCTCCGATTCGACAGTTGCGCCCTCTCGTCTCGTCCTTCACGCCCTCTCCGAGGTTCGTTGGCGAGACATGCACAGTCGGGGCCCTGAAGAAGGAACCCTTTTTGTTGGGGAGGGGCTCCGTGTTCCTTAGTTGCTTTGCAGTGCTCCTTGGGTTTGCCTGAGGTTTTCCATGGAACATCAGAATTTAACGTATGGGAAAAAGGGGCCTCGTTGCATATTTAGGGTTGCTGAGGTCAACGCCCCGACTGCAACCGCACCCGCGGCCTCGCGGGTTGGGCCCCTGGGCCGCGACCCCGCCGATACGTTTTTTTAGGGGGGCGGACGCCCCGCGCGGGACGCATCTGTGCGGCCGCGTATCCGCAGGATCGCGCCCCAGGAGCACGACCGCGAGGGCGCGGATATGGATACAGTCGGGGCGCTGAAGAAGGAACCCTTTTCGTTGGGGAGGGGCTCGGTGTTCCTTGATTGTTTCACAGATTGCCTCAGGTTTTCCTCATGTTTTCGATGGGGAATCGAAGTGTAACTTTTGGGAACGGAGGGGCCCCGTTCCTTATTTAGGGTTCGTTAGGTCAACGCCCCGACTGATGTTCGCCGCTCGTGCATGTTCGCCGCTCGCGCGGTTTGGTGTCTTCCTTCGCGGGAGCCTCAGAGGGTCTTACATGTCCTTGCGGTTCCGAGGATCTTGTCCGGATGCCGTTGGATTCGGTCGACGTCTGGACGACATCTGGACGAAGGGGTGAAGAGCGGCGGTCGAAATATGGACGAATTTGGGTCGAGATCACGTTGATGAAAGAGCCTCCGAGGTCCACAGAGGCTCCCAGGAAGGCTCACCCTGAAATTCGTCGGTTAGCATCGTGTAACCGATCCCTATCCCCATCCCCATCCCGATCCCCACCACCCCATAGTACCCCAGTTGGGAATGTGCCCCTCTCATCTCGAATGAAGCCGCCTACACATATATATATATATAGATATGTATGCATAAACAGGTAAATATATATATATCCCCACCTGGGGGGTAGCTCGTTCAGTGGGGCCTAGGCCTCGCCAGTGGGGATTGGCATCTGCCCTGACCTTCCAGAGAGCTATGTTTTAGCACGGGAGGCCTAAAAACCTAAACGAAACGAAACAGCCTAAAACCAAAACATCGAATAGCTCTGGGATAGGTTTTGAAGTCGCGTGCTATGTTTTAGCCCTCCTGGAAGGTCAGGGTGGTTGATCGATGCTCCGTCGAGCTGTCCCAGGCCAGCCCGTCGCCGGGGCTGCTCCCGAGGCTGCTGGCGGAGCTGAGCGGCTGCGCCGAGGCCGAGGCCGCCATGCCCCCGGGCGGCGAGGCTCGCATGGGCGGGGCCCGCCAGGAGGGACCCCGCTCGGGTCAAGCAGCGGCGAAGCGACCTGGCTCGCCTATAGCCCTCCCACGCAATGTTCTTACAACATTTCTGGCGGAGTCTTGGTTTAACACATCGGGTTTATGGTCTAAGAACATTGTTTTTGTCCTTAGAACATTTTTGGGTTCTAAGAGCATTTCGTGGTAGGACTATCGGAATGCCGGGACGGTCGGTCCCTGCTCATAGGAGGGACCCCGCTCGGGGGCAGCGGCGGGGGGGAATTGGGCTCAGGGTGATGGGCGTGTTTTCCACCATCGCCACCAGAAGTTGGAGGGGGAGGGGGTCCTCCTCCTCCTCCTCCTCCTCCTCCTCCTCCTCCTCTTTCTCCTCCTCTTTCTCCTCCTCCTCCTCCTCCTCCTCCTCCTCCTCCTCCCCCTCCTCCTCCTCCTCCTCCTCCGCCTCTTTCTCCTCCGTAGCCATTTTGGCTCAAAATGCAGGTTTCCTCTGGGAACCAAGCGGATACCGCTAGTCCGCGGCTGGCAGAACTTCTTGAAGTCTGGTTATCTTTCTTGCTCGTCTTCCCTGCGCTTGGGCCGGTGGGTAAACGGAGGCATTTCCCGTTCCTGTCGGTCCGATCGCACCAGTCACAGCCGCCATGCCGCCGAAGATGTCCGTGCGCAAGCCGCAGAATAATCGGAGGCCACGTTCTGCTACACCTGCTGGAGAGGGCCCTGAGGCAAGCGATGGACATGGTTCTGCTGATGCTGCTGACCCTGCTCGCCCTCCCGCTGAAGGTGCTGAGGCCCCCGCACGCGAAGGTGATGCGGTTGCCCCTCCTACCACCTCGGAGAGGAGTATCTGCTCTGGCATGGAAGATGATTGGGACGAAGGACAGGCAGAATACACGAGATTCCTCGCCAAAGACGAGGCCACCAAGCTCCTCCGCGACTGCAAGTCCACGATGCTTGAGACCATCAAGTCCACGGTCAACGAAGCAGTCTCCCCCTTCGCCGAGCAGCTCGCGAATCATGCTGAGTCCGCCGCCATGCTCGCCAAGGGTGTCACGGATCTCCCCAAAATGGTGGATGAAGTTGTTGGCAAGTCTTTGGATAGCCAGAACCGTCGTCTTCAAGAGCAGCTCGATGGGTTCCACGTCCGCATGCGCGCTGCTGAAGCCAGGATGGACGATCACGACACCGCCATCTCCTTCCTCAAAGGAGAGATCAAACAGCTCCATGAGCTGCTCGCGGTCGCCAACGATGCCCCGAAGGCCCCATTGGGCAACTCTGCAGGCTTCGACCGCGACACGGACCCATGCATCATCAAGGCTATCGCCACCAAGCCCACCGCCCTGGACAGCGTCAAGCAGTCCCTCACAGACTGGATTACCAAGGCCGGCGTCGCCACGCAACACTTCGCCATCACCTCCCCTGAGGCAGTCAGCCGCAGCTTCACGATCGAGTTCGGCGGCGCCAAAGGCCCTGGGGCGCGGCGGGTTACTCAAGTTCTCAATGCCCAGCGGCTCGGACCTGGGCAGTGGAGCCGCTTCGAAGCTACTGCGTCCGACGGGCTGCCTTCCGCGCTGCACATCGGCCCTGACAAAAATCCACGGCAGAGACGGATGGATATTCAATCCAGGAAGGTTCGCGACGCCTTCAAAGAGACCGATGCTACCAAGAAGTGGTTCTTGGACAAGGGCAGGGGCTACGTCATGGCTGGTTGGGGCCCGATTCCCGGGATCAGCCACAACCCAGGCAATGCCCCATCTACGATGCATTGGGCGGACAACCTCATCGCGAAGCTGGGTCTTCCTAAGCAACATCTCAGCGCCGCGGCCGCTGCTGCCGCGGCGCCGCCTGAGACCGCAGCTTGGAGCCTTTAGCAGTCTGGGTCGTCTCCTTTGCGGCGAGCGAGCTGGAAAAGACGTGACCTCTTTCTCCGCCTGGAACTCTCGGGCCCTTCCACAATGCCAAGGTGCCCACCCGAAGTGCAAGGCGAACTACCTCCGTCGCATCGGCTTTTCGAATGGGGTAGTATGCTTACAGGAGGGGCATGAAGATGCTGTGCAGTTGGGTGACTTGATTGTGACAGTTCACTAAGTCGCGCGTATCTTCCCATCCCACATGCGAGGATTCGCTAGTGAAAGGAGGGGTCGCCACCGTACTTCCATCGTCATGCCCTGCCTCTGCGTTGCCTCTTGAACTGGTTCCAGGCCGAGTACTGCGTCTTCATCTTCAACATCGTGGCCACAATCTTTTTCACTACAATGCACACAACAACGGGGTTGACCACGAGCAACTTCGTTCGATTAACGCTACCCTCTGCCAAGATATCCAGGAGGCTCTTCGTGACCCGCTCACAGTAACGGCCGTTGTCCGCGGCGGCTTCAATTTCTCGCACTCGTCTCCACTCCCACTTCACCGACCTGGCCGTCGTCTGGGACCTGGGCGAGGGCAGCGTGCACATGCGGCGAAATGGATCAAGATGCGACCCCCCCTCACCGAGGTCTCCTCGGATGAACCCACGCACTCCGATTCCTGCGCTCGCCCCGTCGCCGCTATTGACAGCATGTGGATCAGCTTCCCAGGCTGGACCCTATGTCAGGCGCTGGCAGTACCACGTGTCATTGGCCTTCCCGGGGCTCTTGCGGAAGCCGAGGTCAGTGACCATGCCGCTCGCGCGTGTTCCTTTTCTACCAGATCCCCAAAGCCTGAGCAGTGCCAGAAGATCCCGAGGCACATCTTCGAGTTTGCGGCCTTCAACGAGCTGCTGGATACCGTCACCTCGCAGCTGGACTTCGCCTCGCGCTCTCCCCCGCGTCAAATCGAGTTTTCCGCGTGGGCAGTGAATGGGGCGTCGCGCGAGGTGCGCGACCGCTTTCTCCGCTCTGGCCCCGAGGACATGGAATCTCAACTTCTTCTGGCGCGGCAAATCTCCCGTGCAGTATGGCGCAATGACATGCGCCTTGCTGTTCGTCTCCGTGGTGCTCATCAGATTGCGGCGGACTTCCTATCGATCGCCTCGGGCGCTGTCTCGCTGGTCCCTGCGCCGCCCTTCCAACGCAGGAGCGAAGCGATTCAATCGCGTCATGCCGATCTGCGACGACGACAACTTGAGGCTGGGATCGCAGGCAATCGCCCTTCTCAAACATTGAAGCACGAACTTCTGGCACTGGAACGGCGCGCGGCTATCTGGCCCCCACTGTCAAAGAGGCTAGTTCTGCAAGGCCTCGAGACCCCCAGCGAGGATGGCAAAGTCATCCCTAACAAACAGCATATGCACGAGGCGCTTATCGACCACTGGGCCCCCATCTTCGCGGCTGAGCCCATCGACGAGCAGATGTCTCGCCACCACTTCGAACAGTATGTCAAGCCGGTTGACTTCAGTACAGCACTGCCCCCATCCTCATCGTTTCTACGGCCAGTGGCTAAACAATCTCGTCACTCGGAGCCTGGACTCGACGGCATGCCCATACTCGGCTTGGGTTTCGTCTAAACGTGGCCTATCCATTCTCGCAGCTGCTATGCCGTGGATCTTATCTGGTCCTGCGCGATTCAAATCGTCGAATGACACGCTCCAAGTTTGGCTCCCGAAGGGCGACGAGCCTGCTGATACTATCGCCACTGGATGTGCCAGATCCCCTTCCTCGGTTTGCGTCTTGGGCTTAAGGAACACCGACCTGCATATCATCGCAGCGACTATCAATGTTCGCTTCAGCACACTTCTACGAGACTGGGAGCCTCGTTCACAGCGAGGCTTCATCCTCATCAGGAACTTCGGCGTCTACATCTTAGAACTGGACACGGCGAGCAGAGTGTACCCCGACGCGCCATGTGCAGTGATTGGCATCGCTGTGCTGGTTGCCCTCGGCTATGGAGCGGCCTTCCCCAGCCTGTCGCAGCTGTTCATGTACTTGGTTCTTGCCTCGATGGGTGTGCCGTCAGCGCTCATGTCCGTCATTGATCAGCTCTACTTGGACTTGGAAGCGTTTGCCACGGTTCAGAATATCCAGACGCACGCGTGGTGGGTTTCTTCGGGCATTGTCCAAGGCTGCTCGCTCAGTGGCTTATTTTACGCGGCGACCACTGCACAATTCTTAGTGGACCTTCAGCGCAACCTCGAATCACCTCGACATGCCTTGGCGAGGGCGCGCGCCGACGACATCGGCGCGGCCATCAAGCAGCTGAAGTCTCTCTCGATCTTGGCCGATGTTATGATCAAGGCGGAGAAAATGGCGACTCTCCGCTCAAGAACTGGCAAATGCAAGTGGGTTCCTCTCCACAAGCCCTTCTCGGAGGAGGTGGCGCTCGAGGTGAAGGCTGCCCTGGGCTGTCACGTCCCCTTCTGTAGCAGCATCAACATTGTCGAGCCCCTGAAGTACGTAGGCCTGATCCTTGGCCCCGCTGCTGATGACGACGCTTGCTGGGAGGCGCCTGCCGTGAAGGCTCACACCCGTTCGAAGCTAGTAGGTCACCGTCATCTACCTGTCTCGCGACTTCCAGTTCACCACAATACTCGCATTACGACGGTCCTGTCCTACGTGGCGCAGTTTCGCCCGATGCCAAGCTGGCTCATCCGGACTGAGCTTGTTGCACCCTCTTGCACCTTCAGGCTACCACTGGGGACGTTCTCGATGCCTGCCTGGCGGCAGCTTCGCTCAGCAGGTGGCCCGACCATCTCGCCGTGGTTAGCGCTGAGCACTGCTTCGCTACCCCGCGCAGCCTATCGCACCCTCCCCGAGTCCGAGAGGCTACACCACCGGCTTCGCAGACAACATCATCTACTTGGTGATCGCAAGACTCTCGCCGAGGCTGCCACTTCTCGCCCCTGCCCGAGTTATTGGCAGAGCGAAGCATTTGTTGAGACGCTCTTGAATTTCAAGTCGGGCAAAGTTCCATCGTCCGTCTACTCGCCCATGCTCCTGGCGGCGGCCCGTGGTGCTGCGGATGAATGGCTTGCAGCACAGCCGTCTGGCGTTGGCCTGCAGAGGTCGATCGCTGCGGCGGTTCGGGAAGTCAGCTCCCCCTACC